CATTTTATATAGTTTATGAACACTTACCCATTACATTATAATTGAATGTATATTTCATTGTTAAACTGCAAACATAAGGATGGAAATTTGGTTGTTCAATAAAACTTGATGTAGCTTTTACCGCCTGTTCTATTCCAATCACCGTAAGAAACCCTCAAACCTTATAATCCTCTCTAACCTTTGGAACAAACATATGAAACGGGTGATATCATGTCCATTTTCTAAATCAGAAAATCAATGTTTACTTGTCCCAGGTCACAGAACCAGTAAAAGGCAGAAGTAGTGTTTAATGTACTCTGACTACTAAGCTAATGTCTCTACTGTGACATACATACTATTTCTTACAACAAATAAAATCTTGGGAAGATTATTTACATCCCATGAGTAGTGCTCACATTTTAAGTTTAAAAAAAATTAAAACCTCTCCTCTATTCTCTTATCCTGCCCACAGCCTCCCATTTCTTTTCTGTGCTTTGTAGCAAAACCATCCAAAAATCTGTCTATATTCATTTTCTTCAATTTTGTTCCTCTTCTCTAAAGTGTATCCAGTCAGGCTTTCATCATCTCAGAGTCACCAGTGACCTGCATGACTAAACTTAATGTTTGTTTCTCAATCCTCTTCTGACATGGCCTTTTAGGAGCCTTTGGCACTGCTGAGCTTCCCCCACCCACCTGACATGCATTCACTTTGCACTTGGCTCTCTCCTACCTCACTGGCCCTTCTCGTTCCCTGTGCTTTTCTTTTCCCAGGATGATCATTATCTTTGCCCTTAACCCTCTTCTCTTGTTGTATGTGTCTTTACTCCCCCAGTTTTCTCATATAGTCCCATACCTTTAAATAGTATTTATATGACAGCAGCTCTTGAATTCATATCACCACCGCAGACATTGATCATAAACTTCACACTTATATACCTAATATGTCCGAAACTGAATTCCTGATCTTACATTTCAAACCACTCCACCCATGAATGAGGATAACCACTCTGGGTAATCAGTTCTAGTTTGACACTCTGGGTAATTAGTTCTAGTTTAAATTGTTGAGGTCAGATCCGTAGCCTGGAGCTCCTCCCTCAGATCCCATGTCCACGAAGTCCTGTTGGCTCTGTCATCAAAACATACCCAGAATAATTACTTCTCATCACTGTCACTGGGCTCAGGAACAATAATCTCTCCCTTGTAACACTACAAAATTTTACAAAATACAGTAGAATCTCTGTAACTTGCCCACCAAGGGACTATAATAAATTTGTCAACATACAAGATGGTCAACATGCATGTCCAGTGTATGGAAATTAGATCAACTTAAGAAAGTGATCACTGTAGGGAAGTGGTCAACTATGGAGGTTCTACT